CTTCCCTACTGCCATCTCACCCACACTCACCACCACCACCACCCCTTCCCTACTGCCATCTTCACCCACCCCTCACCACCACCACCCCTTCCCTACTGCCATCTTCACCCACACTCACCACCACCACCCCTTCCCTACTGCCATCTTCACCCACACTCACCACCACCACCCCTTCCCTACTGCCATCTTCACCCACACCACACCCCTTCCCACTGCCATCTTACCCACACTCCTCACCCCCTCCCTACTGCCATCTTCAACCCACCACCACCACCACCACCCCCTTCCTACTGCCATCTTCACCACACTCACCACCACCACCCCTTCCCTACTGCCATCTTCACCCCACTCACCACCACCACCCCTTCCCACTCCCATCTCCCAACTCACCACCACTCACCACCACACCCTTCCCTACTGCCATCTTCACCCACACTCACCACCACCACCACCTTCCCTACTGCCATCTTCACCCACACTCACACACCACCACCCTTCCCTACTGCCATCTTCACCCACACTCACCACCACCACACCACCCCTTCCCTACTGCCACCCCACACTACCACCACCCACCACCCCTCCCTACTGCCATCTTCACCACACCACCACCCCTTCCCTCTGCCATCTTGACCCACACTCACCAACCCCCACCCCTTCCCTACTGCCATCTTCACCCACACCTCCACCACCACCACCACCCCTTCCCTACTGCCATCTTCACCCACACTCACCACCACCACCCCTTCCCTACTGCCATCTTCCCACACTCACCACCACCACCACCCCTTCCCTACTGCCATTACCTTCACTTCCTACACTCACCAACCCACCACCCCTTCCCTACTGCCATCTTCACCCACACTCACACCACCACCACCCCTTCCCTACTGCCATCTTCACCCACACTCACCACCACCACCACCCCCCCTTCCTACGCCATCTTCACCCACACTCACACCACCACCACCCCTTCCCTACTGCCATCTCACCACACTCACCACCACCACCCCTTCCCTACTGCCATCTTCACCACACTCACCCCACCACCTTCCCTACTGCCATCTTCACCCACACTCACCACCACCACCACACCCTTCCCTACTGCCATCTTCACCCACCACACCACCACCACCACCCCTTCCCTACTGCCATCTTCACCCACACTCACCACCACCACCCCTTCCCTACTGCCATCTTCACCCACACTCACCACCACCACCCCTTCCCTACTGCCATCTTCACCCACACTCACCACCACCACCACCCCTTCCCTACTGCCATCTTCACCCACACTCACAAACACCACCCCTTCCCTACTGCCATCTTCACCCACACTCACCACCACCACCACCCCTTCCCTACTGCCATCTTCACCCACACTCACAAACACCACACCTTCCCTACTGCCATCTTCACCCACACTCACCACCCCTGGAATTTCCATGAAGATAATCTTCATTGTTTGAGATGGACAAGAGCATATATACAACGTCGTGCTGAATAGGTAAAACCGGTGAATTGGTAAGAACTCATTTAAAATTAAAGTCCTTTCTAAAATTTTCTCTTGTACGCTTAAATATATATTCTTTTCATTTATGTTAATGTAAAAATTAATAATTTTATACCGAAAGAACCTTAGAAAACTTACCTAAAGTTTTTATAACAAGCTCAGTTTAATTTAGGCTAATACAGCTAAATATATTTCAGATAAGTTCACAGTAATTTAATAATAAACAAACACAGCGAAATTATTACATACACAAATTTTAGTTTGCTTTATTCGGCAAGAAGAGCGTTGCTGTTTAAGCCAAAATCGCAAGTTTTACATATTCCTCACGACATATATATAAGAACATAAGAATGGAGGAACACTGCAGAAGGCCTACTGGCCCATGCGAGGCAGGTCCTTATCAAAACGACCTTAACTACTATATATATAGTATATATATATATATATATATATATAATATATATATATATATATATATATATATATATATATAATGTCGTGCTAAATTAAATTGCACTTGTTATAATAAGGTCAGGTAAGTTTTCTAAGGTCCTTTTGGTACAAAACTATTAATTTTTACATTAACATAAATGAAAAAATATATCTTTAAGCGTATAAGAGAAAATTTTAGAAAGGACTTAATGTCAAATGAGTTCTTGCTAATTGACCAATTTTACCTATTCGGCACGACTCGCTTAGCAATTCGCAAATGGGCGAAATTGTTTGGGAATATTATTTCTGAGTCCAGAGCAAGAGTGGAAGGTTACGTGGAGGTTACCTGGAGGTTATTCCGGGGATCAACGCCCCCGCGGCCCGGTCCATGACCAGGCCTCCCGATGGATCAGGGCCTGATCAACTAGGCTGTTACTGCTGGCCGCACGCAGTCCAACGTACGAGCCACAGCCCGGCTGATCCGGCACTGACTTTAGGTATCTGTCCAGCTCTCTCTTGAAGGCAGCCAGGGGTTTATTGGCAATTCCCCGAATGCTTGATGGGAGGCTGTTGAACAGTTTTGGGCCCCGGACACTTATGGTGTTTTCTCTTAGTGTACCAATGGCGCCCCTACTTTTTATTGGGGGCATTTTGCATCGCCTGCCCAGTCTTTTACTTTCGTAGGGAGTGATTTCTGTGTGCAGATTTGGGACCATTCCTTCCAGGATTTTCCAAGTGTAGATTATGATATATCTCTCCCTCACACACTGCGTCAGAGTACGCACTACTTTACGAATGTGAGATTTATAAACGACACTTATAGACAAGAAACTTAATAAAGGAATAAACAAAGAACAAGCAGAGATAAAATATTAAATATAACAAATTCGTTTTATCATTCGGATTAATTTTTTTAAGTAACTGGGTAATAAGAGGATTATTTCTTTCTTCCCGGACAGCTGAAAGGGAAGGAAAAAAAAGTTTGGGTTCTTAATGCTAGGTCAATCTTCCCCGCCAATCAGGCAGCGTGCGTATTTTCCGCCTATTTCACCCAGTTGATGCCGGGAAGAGAGGGGAGGGGAGGGCTGAGGATGGATTGTGAGGGGGGGAAAGGGAGGGGAGGGCTGAGGATGGATAGTGAGGCGGGGAAGGGAGGGGAGTTGTGGGCTGAGGTGGGATAGAGAGGATGGATGGGGGAAGGGGACGCGGTGAGGATTTTTGGAGGGGGTGAGGTGAGGGTTTTTGAATGGGCGGAGGTGGTAGGGGGGAGTATTAGAGGGGGTGGAGGTACACTTTCTTCATCACTCCTCACGCCTTGGGTCCGTGGTGGTGCACCAACTTTAACAAACGGTGGTGAATTAGTGTCAGGTCAAGCCGTGTGGTAACTACCTTCAACACTATGTGCTGTGACGAAGAGTTACACACTTGATCATCATCTGGAGGGAGAAAAGTCGACAAATTAAAGATACCCAGATGTTGGACATTTGTCTGATTCATCATCTTGTTGGTATTGTATAACATTCGTATACATTCTGTGCTTCATTGTTCACTTATTGAGGAATATAAAGATAGCAACAGCTTGGTTGGCCAGGCAAGCAGCAGACAAGTCCGGACCTAGGCCAGGCTTTGAGAGTAGAAAAACTCTTGGAATTCTTCAAAAGGTATATCAAAGATAGTATAATAACCTATATGATACCTGGAGTTTACCTGGAGAGAGTTTCGGGGGTCAACGCCCCCGCGGCCCGGTCTGTGACCAGGCCTCCTGGTGGATCAGCGCCTGATCAACCAGGCTGTTGCTGCTGGCTGCACGCAAACCAACGTACGAGCCACAGCCCGGCTGTGGCTCGTACGTTGGTTTGCTATGTCAAGATAAATTATTAATAAAAATAATTACCAGATATATTAAACAAATTTCCTAAATTTGCTTGCAACTGTAGATATTAATCCAGATATACTCGTGTAAATGCTTTTGAGGCCTAGTTCCTAGGCCTTTTCTGTATCTCTGTGTTGTTGCGCTACCCTCCACAGGACGGATACGGGGTGCACAATAAACTAGCCGCTTCGGTGGCAATATAAAACAAAATACGTGCGGCCAGCAGTAACAGCCTCGTTGATCAGGCCCTGATCCACCGGGAGGCGTGGTCGTGGACCGGGCCGCGGGGACGTTGATCCCCGGAATGCCCTCCAGGTAGACTCCAGGTAGGTAGACTGATGACTTGATAATTGTCAAGTCCAGCACAGACCGAGACGTAATGTAAAGTTCCCTCCGTATCCATGTTGTACGGTAGTTGTGAATTCTTACTCCGTAGCTTCACATAAAAGAACAGCGACACAAAACATTCAGTGGTTGAGACTGATAGCTACGTAGGCCTGCCGTTCGCTAGCAGCAACAGCCTGGTTAGCCCAAGCAGTTAGAAACGAGATCTGGTTTCAGGCCAACTTTTGGGAGTAGAAAAATTCTTGAAACCAGTTAGAGCAATGCCTGTCTCTTGTTCAATGATTTTATCACTTTGTAAATAATGTGTGTGTGTCTGTTTTTAGAATTCGCAGAACAGGCGAAATATTCACAAACACTAATCTCAGGTCGGAGGAGACTCGAACCTTGGGACAAGGTACGCAGTGCCGTGAGGGCCATGATTCCCGGAACAATTAGTAGTCAGCAGATAGTATGATGCGACTATTATCGTGGTACGTAGACTATTAAATATGTTAATAATAAGTGACACTCGTGGCTGCTGTAACTCCCACCTGACTCACTAGTCCAAGCTGGTTCATTATCTTATCTTCATTAGTGTTCAAGATAGACCGAAAAGCCAATTTAAGATGTACCTCCAATTTGTGAGTTGTGCTATGGTATCTTAACTAATGTGTTATTTGCCTTAAGTGATAACGTGTGTGTATCTGTGTGTGTGTGCGTGTGTGTGTGTGTGTGTGTGTGTGTGTGTGTGTGTGTGTGTGTGTGTGGTGTGTGTGTGTTTGTTTGTTTGTTTTATAAATATTGTATTATTTCTTACATTAAGTGCTAACTGAGTTGGTTATACATGTTGCAGGCGGCGGAGAAGATGGGCCTGAGTGCTGGACCAGCAACAGGGTCACTCTTTTCCTTCTATCACAACGGGCAAACGCTGGGCCAGCCACCACCAGCACACATGGGCATCCCTCCCTACCAACTAGACCCCAAAGCTGGTAAGTCTGATGCTTCTTTGTTTACTCTCTTGAATTTACGAGCTAAGAAAAGTTATCCAAGCTCGGCTGTCTCCATTAGGTTACAAACATACTACCTATACTATGTATACTCACTGGTGTGCTTATTTTCCTGTCACTACCACCGTCCTTGACTACATTAACCTGGTACTACTTTTGTAAATTATTACATATATAATTGTAGTTTACACGTGTTCACACGTGTTTAACACTTGGAACGTAGAAAGTTAAGACACATGTGCAACATCTGGATGTCTTTATTGTAGACGTTTCGCCATCCAGTAGCTTTATCAGTACAGATTCTAGGACATAATTAGAAGGCAGTAGAACGATATACAAAAGATGAGGTAATCAGTCCCTCAGCCTTGGAGTTAGTGTTCACAGCATCGTGGTGGAGGAGAATCTGGAGCAAAGGCAAGGAGACTGGCAGTTATATAGGCGTCAGTGGATAGGGACGTGTAGCAGACGAGGGGAATCCCGCCTACCAATGACTATGCCCTCGTCTGCTGCACGTCCCTATCCACTGACGCCTACGCCCAGTCTCCTTGCCTTTGCTCCAGATTCTCCTCTACCACGATGCTGTGAACACTAACTCCAAGGCTGAGGGACTGATTACCTCATCTTTTGTATATAGTTATACTGTCTTCTAATTATGTCCTAGAATCTGTATTGATAAAGCCACTGGATGGCGAAACGTCTACAATAAAGACATCCAGATGTTGCACATGTGTCTAAATTTTCAATTTGTCGGTATTTTATACCTTTCTTGCACAACTTGGAACGTTACAGTGTTCTTACAGTATTAAAAACCATTAAGAAGCACATTAGGAAGGAAAGGTGTGTGTATACTGAATCTAAGTATAAGTTTGTAAGATTTACTTGTCTCAGACATACACACTACCATAATAATACATTGGCGTGAGATACATGGAAGAGGTATAAAAATAGACGCGCTGAAAAGCAGGGCTGCCATGGCGACAATATGAGAGCACTGTATCATCATCCATGGGCGTAGGCCATTCTACCTGTTGCCAGGAGATATCAGCAATGTTGCAAGAGCAAGTGTAGAAGTTGTCCAAAAGAAAGTGAATCACTACCTTGGCGGTGTGCCTGATGGACTAGGCTGTGATGGATATGTGGGCCGGCAACAGCAACAACCTGGTTGATCATGCAGTCAACAGGAGACTTGGCTTCCGGGCCGGGCAGCGAGAGTAGGAAAACTCTCGTAGTAAATCTTGATTGTTCGTAACGCAAAAATTATCAACATTCCTGCCAGTTCAAAAACACTGAACAGCCGCCACCTCGCAAGTCTACTGTCTGGTGGTGACATACCTGGTGGTGACATACCTGGTGGTGACATACCTGGTGGTGACATACCTGGTGGTGACATACCTAGTGGTGACATACCTGGTGGTGACATACCTGGTGGTGATATACCTGGTGGTGATATACCTGGTGGTGATATACCTGGTGGTGACATACCTGGTGGTGATATACCTGGTGGTGACATACCTGGTGGTGACATACCTAGTGGTGACATACCTGGTGGTGACATACCTGGTGGTGACATAACTGGTGGTGACATACCTGGTGGTGACATACCTGGTGGTGACATACCTGGTGGTGACATACCTAGTGGTGACATACCTGGTGGTGACATACCTGGTGGTGACATAACTGGTGGTGACATACCTGGTGGTGACATACCTGGTGGTGACATACCTGGTGGTGATATACCTGGTGGTGACATACCTGGTGGTGACATACCTGGTGGTGATATACCTGGTGGTGATATACCTGGTGGTGATATACCTGGTGGTGACATACCTGGTGGTGACATACCTGGTGGTGATATACCTGGTGGTGACATACCTGGTGGTGACATACCTGGTGGTGATATACCTGGTGGTAACTTCACTTAGTCATCATAATATATACATTAATACACTTAATACAAACTTTACTCTAACAGTTGATGTTAAGGGGACCTGTTATTGTCTTGTTTTATGTTGTCTTGTTTTATGTTATTGTCTTGTTTTATGTTATTGTCTTGTTTTATGTCTTGTTTTATGTTATTGTCTTGTTTTGTTGTCTTGTTTTATGTTATTGTCTTGTTTTATGTTGTCTTGTTTTATGTTATTGTCTTGTTTTATGTTGTCTTGTTTTATGTGATTGTCTTGTTTTATGTCTTGTTTTATGTTATTGTCTTGTTTTATGTTGTCTTGTTTTATGTTATTGTCTTGTTTTATGTTGTCTTGTTTTATGTTATTGTCTTGTTTTATGTCTTGTTTTATGTGATTGTCTTGTTTTATGTCTTGTTTTATGTTGTCTTGTTTTATGTTATTGTCTTGTTTTATGTTGTCTTGTTTTATGTTATTGTCTTGTTTTATGTTGTCTTGTTTTATGTTATTGTCTTGTTTTATGTTGTCTTGTTTTATGTTATTGTCTTGTTTTATGTTGTCTTGTTTTATATTATTGTCTTGTGGGTTGGTTGTAACAGACAAGGGTTAGTTGTAACAGACAAGGGTTGGTTGTAACAGATAAAGGTTGGTTGCAACAGACAAAGGTTGGTTGTAACAGACGAGGGTTGATGTAACAGACAAGGGTTGGTTGTAACAGACAAGGGTTAGTGTAACAGACAAGGGTTGGTGTAACAGACAAGGGTTGGTTGTAACAGACAAGGGTTGGTTGTAACAGACAAGGGTTGGTGTAACAGACAAGGGTTGGTGTAACAGACAAGGGTTGGTTGTAACAGACAAGGGTTGGTATAACAGACAAGGGTTGGTTGTAACAGACAAGGGTTGGTTGTAACAGATAAAGGTTGGTTGTAACAGACGAGGGTTGGTGTAACAGACAAGGGTTGTTTGTAACAGACAAGGGTTAGTGTAGCAGACAAGGGTTGGTGTAACAGGCAAGGGTTTGTTGTAACAGACAAGGGTTGGTTGTAGCAGACAAGGGTTGGTGTAACAGACAAGGGTTGGTTGTAACAGACAAGGGTTGGTATAACAGACAAGGGTTGGTTGTAACAGACAAGGGTTAGTTGTAACAGACAAGGGTTGGTTGTAACAGATAAAGGTTGGTTGCAACAGACAGAGGTTGGTTGTAACAGACAAGGGTTAGTGTAGCAGACAAGGGTTGGTGTAACAGGCAAGGGTTTGTTGTAACAGACAAGGGTTGGTTGTAACAGACAAGGGTTGGTGTAACAAAGGTTGGTGTAACAGACAAGGGTTGGTTGTAACAGACAAGGGTTAGTGTAACAGACAAGGGTTGGTGTAACAGATATAATTTGGTTGTAACAGACAAGGGTTGGTGTAACAGACAAGGGTTGGTTGTAACAGACAAGGGTTGGTGTAACAGACAAGGGTTGGTTGTAACAGACAAGGGTTGGTGTAACAGACAAGGGTTGGTTGTAACAGACAAGGGTTGGTATAACAGACAAGGGTTGGTTGTAACAGACAAGGGTTGGTGTGACAGACAAGGGTTGGTTGTAACAGACAAGGGTTGGTTGTAACAGATAAATTTTGGTTGCAACAAAGGTTGGTTGTAACAGACGAGGGTTGGTGTAACAGACAAGGGTTGGTTGTAACAGACAAGGGTTAGTGTAGCAGGCAAGGGTTGGTGTAACAGGCAAGGGTTTGTTGTAACAGACGAGGGTTGGTGTAACAGACAAGGGTTGGTTGTAACAGACAAGAGTTGGTGTAACAGACAAGGGTTGGTTGTAACAGACAAGAGTTGGTGTAACAGACAAGGGTTGGTGTAACAGACAAGGGTTGGTTGTAGCAGACAAGGGTTGGTGTAACAGACAAGGGTTGGTTGTAACAGACAAGGGTTGGTGTAACAGACAAGGGTTGTTGTAACAGACAAGGTTGGCTGGGAACACATACACACTGCAAGCTCCGAGAGGCTGGTTAAGGGAAAGAAGTAGGGAGGCAGGGAGGAGGACCATGGTCACGGGTATGCAAGTGACTGGATTAACCTGGTACAAAACAAACTTAGACCTGTGTTATATATATAAAAAGAGCCGTTTATGATTTGTGTTGGCAGATGATGTTGAGTTGTATGCATAAAGTATTTGTATTGTCTGTCAAGGGGATTACTCCGCTTGGTTCACAGAATTGTTCTGGATTTGGTCGTCTCCTTAACCGTTTTATTACAATGTAATTTCGTTCCTTGGATTTTTTTCCTTTGGAAGAATTTTTGCACTGATGTAGTAATTGACTGTAAAAATAAGTTTCAGTGCGAGGATACGAAAAGTTTTTGGTCTCGCTGTATTTCATTGACTTAAAACGTTGATATATGACAGACTTAAGAGTTACTTTGTTGAGTAATGTTTGAAGTTACTGGGATTAGTGTTTTTATTCGACCCCACGAATGGCATTGTGACAGTGTTTGGGGACAGTTGATTGGTGGACTTGCAAGCGTCGTCAGTCAAGAGGTAATGGTACGAGGCAGCTGACTGGTCGACGGAATGGTATCTTTACACACGCAATATTACGGGGCAGCTGGTTGGTCTTTGGCGTGAGTGTCTGCCACGTAATGCTAGATTACGGCAGATTGATTGTTTTTCAAAGACATCACTCAACACACAATGTTAGCGAGCAGACAGTTAGCTGTCAGGACGTTGTCACTCTTCATGTCTTCCTGAGTAGCAGCTGATTGGTTTGTGGTATATCTGCACTGAATGTTGAGAGGGAGTTGATTTATTGAAGGAACGTCATTACCCTACATGCAGTCTGAACTCCTTGACGCTGTGTCACCTTAATGCGGTAGTGTGGTTTGTGCCTTGAGGTGGTGGCCTGTGGAAAGGGTGCCACTCCTCAGAGGATGCTTGCTCTTTCGGAATAAATGGTAGGGATTTTTTGCTGTAGTCTAAATTTGCTGACATCGCCGAAAGACACGGAATGAATTATGGATATAGATTGCTCAATGCTAAAAATTGACTTTATATAGCTTTACTTGCTCTGTGATTATGAGTTAGGAAA